GGGGCTGCCATCGCCAGACCTGCTCCGTGTGTCCCCCAGTTGTGGGAGGTCTGCCCGCATCTCTCTGCTGTGGGAAAGGCAGCCCGACGGCCGGCCAGCCGTGACGGGATCGACTCTTAAGGAGGCTGTGTCATCAGCGTTGTCACCGCACTCAGAACCACCCACGGCCAAGAAGGACATGGATGACAGCTCTGTGTGGCTCAGGTCCCGAGACCAGCAGGGCCAGGTGGCTGCACATGGCCGTGGGATGCAGAGGTCTCCTCTGGGCGCGCCCAGTGTGGGTTTGCTTGTATTCTTAGAGAGGGCATTTTCCAGGGTTACACTTGGTCACCAGACACCTAGACAGGGGGACAGTACTGGGCACGGAGAGTGCCCGGGTGCTTCCCAGACTGCACTGTGGGGGCCACTCTGATGACCAGGCCCTGTTGCTTCCGCCTCCTTCGCGCTGCCCGTGTAGATGCTTCTGGCTTCAGTGGGGACACCTGCAGGGCTTGTCCAGAGCCCACATTCAAGGCCCAGGCCTGGGACACGGTCCAGCTTGTGAGTGTTGATGCAAAGAACTCGGTCCCTGTAGTGTCCACGGAGCTGAGGAGCCAGCAGGAGGCACCGAGGGCCCGGACAGCAGGACAGGACCACCGATCTGGGACCCGCAGGACGATCTGCCTCACGCCTCAAGGTCTCAGGCAGATGTGTGTGCGCCTCCTGCTTTCTCGAGACAAAGTCCCAGAGAAACCCAGCCCTTCCTCCAGCGCGTCCTGCCATCTAATCAGATCTGTCGATAAACACGGGCAGATTCCAGTTTTTCTCCTCCCCGCTCTCACGTTCCAAGGTGGCCATTACCTGTTATCTGTGTGGGATTGTGTTCCCACCTCCCCGCCTGCAGCTGTAGGCGGACATTTTAATTAAAGGGCAGGAGGGCCAGGAGATAGCGGCGCTCCTGTGCCCGGGTCTCAGCGGGGGCGGCAGCGTTCAGGGGCGAGTGATGCCGCGTCCCGGGGTTCACAGGAGTATTGCTGCAAACCGTCCTGGTGCTTTGTCAGGCAAGCGCTTATCTCCACGTCCAGGGCGGAGGCGGGCCTCACACCCAGCTGGAGTCTTGGTGACTCTTCTGGCGGGAAGCCAATCAGACAAAACCCAGGGCACCGTCCCGCTCCCTCGGGTGGGAGTTTCCTCAGAAAGCTGAGTCAGCTTTCCCCTGGGGTCCTGCAGGGTAGAGTTTTCTCAGAGACCCCGGGTTCAGGCCTAAAATGCAGCTATGTGCCTTGGCTGATTGCTCAGTGGTTAGAGCGCTGGCCTGCAGACCGAAGAGTCTCGGGTTCAATTCCCGGTCAAGGGCACATGCCTCGGTTGCAGGTTTGAGCCCCAGCCCCAGGTTCAATCCCGGTCAGGGTGGATGTGGGAGGCAACCAATCGATGTGTCTCTCTCACACAGATATTTCTCTCTCTCCCTACCCCCTACCCCCTTCCTCCTTCCCTTCCACTCTGTCTCAAAATCAATGGGAAAAATATCCTTGGGTGAGGATTAAAACAATAATAATAACAATAATAATGATGATAAAATGCAGCCACGGAGCATACACACCTCTCAGAATAGAGACAGGGCGGCCCCGAGACCAGAGTGGCCTTAGTTATTGTTGGGGTCCGTTGGGTGTTCACAGTGGGCTCCCTCTCTCCTGCCCACACGCTCCCTCTCGTCCCACCCCGTCCTCCTCACCCCTCATCTTAGCCCGGCCTTGCCCCTTACCTGCCTTCCGCCTCTGAGATCTTGTTCACCATCCGTGTGCCAGTCATTGGCACTCGGTGGGTGCTCATAATCCACACTTGCCCGTGAATGGAGGCGGGAGGCTGGGTTACCTACCAGGGTTTTCACGATGTCGCGTCCGTAGGAGGCTTTGCGGGATGGTGAGCACTTAG